TTCTCTCTCTCTCTCTCTCTCTCTCTCTCTCTCTCTCTCTCTCTCTCTCCCGCCTGCAGACTGAGATGTGAACTCTCAGCTACTGCTCCAGCACCAAGGTTGCCACACTTCCCACCGTGTGTGCTAACGGAAGGCGGAGTGTGTGTAAAAAGTGAAAACGCTTCTCACCTTCTCCCTAACATCCCACACGATGAACTCGGTTTAAACATTTCTTTGTCTCCTTGGTACGGCACTAATCGCAAAGGATTAGATTTTGACGTCAAGGCTGGGGCATCCTCTCAACATTCAGGAGGTGGAGGAGGAGGGTCAGAAGTAAGGTTGTTCTCAGCTGTGTATTAAATTCAAGGACAGCCCATCTCAAAAGGTGTGGAGGGTTGGAGGGTTGCAGATCAACTCCTGTACAGCCGCAGGTCTCTGCTACTCCAGAACTCACCTTGTTTGCTTTTCACAGAAGCCCGACCTTATCCTCTGGACCCCACTTCCCCCGCAGTCGTCCACCTACAGCTCTCGGTCCGTGCACATTACAATCCCCAGAGGCTCGTAAAGATGCCAGTTCTGGGCATCAGGTAGTGACGTACTTCCCGTGCAGGTGCAAGGACCTGGGTGCAAATATGCAGCACCCACATTAAAATTCAAGTGTAGAAAGCCAGGTGGAGGTGGCACACACCTCTAATCCCTGCACTTGGGAGGCAGAAGCAGGTGGATCTCAGAGTTTGAAGTCAGCCTGGTCTACCGTACAAGTTCTAGGATACTAAGGTCTACATAGAAAAACTCTGTCTCAAAAACAACGAACAAAAACCAAAACCTAACAAACACACCAAAAAAGAGGGCTGGTTGTGTTGCTCAGTGGTAGAGCCCCTGCCTAGAATCCCCCGGTGAGGGGCAGGGGTGTGGTTCAGTGGTAGAGCCCCTGCCTAGAATCCCCAGTGAAGACTAGGGGTGAGGTTCATTGGGAGAGCCCCTGCCTAGAATCCCCCGGTGAGGGGCTGGGGTGTGGCTCAGTGGTAGAGCCCCTGCCTAGAATCCCCTAGTGAGGGGCTGGGGGTGTGGTTCAGTGGTAGAGCCCCTGCCTAGAATCCCCCAGTGAGGGGCTGGGGGTGTGGTTCAGCAGTGGGGTGATTACCTAGTACATGTGAGGCCCTAGGTTCAATCCCTATTACCAAAACATAAATAACTAAATAAACTACTTCCAGATCATTCAGCCTCACCTATCCCCTAGTCTAGAAACCATAACGTCATTGGAGAAATGGATGACAGCCCACAAGAACCAAGAACAAATAACTTCTCTGATGGGAAACGAACAATGGTCGCATGAATCTCTTACTGCTTAGCAGGAAAAATCTTCCGCCAAGCTCCCCCCTCCAACAAGGCAGACTGCACGGAGACTTCATTTGCACAACTTTATTTTACACTCACACATTTACAGTCACTGATTGTTGTATCAATGTGCTACTTCCATGAAGGCGTCTCAAGGATTATCACAGGAAAAGAGGCTGGAGGCTGACTGACTCACTGACAAATGTTTAACAACTGAACGCAGTTTCTGGATCAAGAAATCTGCAGTGGGGAAAAGGGCATGAAAACTCAAGAGGGCTGGCAGTCCAGGACGGAAAGCCCGCTGTGTACCAGGTTAGCACAGGTTAGCAAGGGACCTCGCTGTCACAGCTGAACAGGGAAGCGAAACACACAGGTGCAGACTCATTTTGGATATTGTGTTACAGGACATGCAGGGGACCAAATCTCTTCCACTCCCTTCCGACCTTTCTCCTCAAAGTTCACACCTACAAGAAACTTAGAGAGTGGGACACACACACACACACACACACCGACACCTCATTAGAAAACTATGTTGCAAGAGGAAGGATCTGAGTTTGCTCCCCAGAACCTGTGCAAAAACAAACAAAAAGTCAACGTTGTAGCACAGGCTTGTAGCCCCAGTTCTGGGGGTGGGGGGCATCCCTGGGGTCCACTGCCCCACCAGCCTCCTAGCCGGTTTCAGGACAGTGAGAGACTGGCCCTCATAAAAAGGTGGGTGGTGGCTGAGGAGTGACACCCAAAGTAACCCTCTGCCTCCACATACACACACATGCACAGAAGGACACACACATACACAGAAAAATACAACTATATACAAAATACAGAGTCAATGGCTAGTTACAGTTATCCTATACACACAAGGGAATATTTTAGATATTTTGGATCACAACACAGTTGAGTTTTCATTTTTCTACACTTTAAACAAAATGTCCTTATTTACTTATTTATTTTGAGGCAGGGTCTCACTCTATAGCCCAAGCTGGCCTTGAACTCATAGCAGTTCTCCTGCCTCAACCTCCACATGCTGGGATTACAGCCACTTGTCACCACAGCTGCTTCTTCTGAATGTTAAAATGTTTTATTATATTTATTTCCTGGGGGCGTACTTGTGCCCATGGAATAATTGTGGAGATCAGAGGCTAACACGGGTGTTGCTTCTCTCTTTCCACTATGTGGGTGTTGGGGATTGAACCCAGGGACTTGAACTTGGTGGCAAGCCCCTGCCCCTTTTCTCGTTGAGTCGTATCTCCAGCATCTCTTTCGTGCTTCTAAACATGAAAAAAAAGGGTCCCCAGGATGTAGCTTAGAAACCACAGATGGTGAAGACACCATTCTCTCTCCTTCACACACACACAGAAGGGCAGCATGGCCAGACTTAGTGGCACTAAATTCAGAGGATAGAATTCCGTCCATTTAAAAGAAACTTTTGAAAAGAGAGAGGTTTTCCCTTTCTTCCTATGATGTGAGCATCTGACTTAAGCCTCAATGACAGGGGGTCTCTAAGAAGTCAACAGAATTAGAGCTAAATGCTGATTTTTCTCTACCAACCTCTCCTCTCCCAGCAGGCTTTCTGAGAGGGCCATCACTCCATTTGGGAACTAAAGTGCTGTTTTTATTCCATTTTGGTTTTTATTGGTTCTGGAGATTAAACCCAGGGCCTTGCATATGCTAGGCAGGAGCTCTGCCATTTGGCCACGCCCACAGCTCCTCACTGGGGGATTCCCCTGCCCAGAAGCTCACCGGCTCAGATAGGGGGGCCGGCCCCCAAGTCCTTGGGATTGACCTGTCTCCACCACCGATGCTGGTGTTACAGGCACAGGCAGCCATGCAGGACCTTTTCACATGAGGCCTAAGGATTAGAACTTAGGTCCTTGCGTTTACACTGCAAGTCCTCTTTCCCTCTGAGTCATCTCCCCTGCCCTCCGTTTTTTGTTTTTTTTTTTTTAAGACTCTGAAATCTGAAGAATTCAAGGGCAAGAGATGTTTGGGTTTTCTCCAGAACCAACTCTTGGGACCTAACCAACTTCTGGCTAGGCTGCTGAAGGACCGAAGTTGAAGTACACAAAGCAAGCTTCGAAGAGCAAGGCCTGACTTACCGAATGCTTACAGCACAAGGGACAAAATGGCCACCCTGCCCTTCGGGACTTCAGGCTCTACAAGTGGGCTGGGCCTCCAAAAGAAAAAGCAGAGGGTAGAGGAAAATAAAGGCTAAATGTGGGTAAACATAACCAAGAGCCCTCTTGTGGATAAAACAGAAAGAATGTTCTAGCATTTTCCAAAGCTACTTATAACCTCTTTCCCCTTTGAGGGTGAGCAGAGATGAAAAGAAGCTCCCACTGAGGAAAAGACACAGAGTTACCCCAACACACACACCTCCTAAGGCCTTACATCCGTTACCTGTGCAGGTCAGAGCACACACACTTAATAGGCCCCTACAGAGTCCAAAGTCATGTTTCATTCAACCACAAAGAAAAAGTCAGCTTCCAACTTGAAACTTCTTTCTCGATGCTCTTCCACCTCCTCAGATGCAGGGTTCCCCAAATCATAGCTTTCTGGAATCTGTGGATAAATCAGAATATCCCCAGAAGGGTAACAGGGTCAGGCATAATTAGATATTTATTGCCTGGGAACCTCCTGAGTCCAGGACCATGCCCACCCCCCACCCCCCACCCCGTCCCCACCCGGTCGAGCCCTAGAAACAGCAGCCTTAGAGTCCTGCATGCTAAAAAACAACAGAATATCAAATTATAAACTTTTATGTAGTGCAGGCTGATCGTAGACTCTCAGCCCTCTGCTTCGGTCTCTAAAGTGCTGGGGATACACGATTACACACCCCAAAACCATTACATTGCTGTGGAAGGAAGTGGGTGAGACAGTCACTGGTTGACAGAGACCCAAACGATGCCTAGCAAGGGCTCTAGGAGGGAGGACTGGGCTCTCTCACTAACCCTCACCTGGGAGGGGGTTTCAAACACTGCCTTTATGCACTGGGGTCCTGTTAGGCCCCCTGCCCCCACACTGCACCCCTGTTTTAACTAACCACATCATGTCTATATGCACTCACCTTTGGAGACATGAGGGAATCCTCCTGGCTTGGTCTTCTGAGCACTGGAAGCTGAAGCAGGTGCATTAGCAGGTACATTAGCAGGTGCATTCGCAGGTGCATTCGCAGGTGCATTAGCAGGTTGGGGCCCCCGAGGAGCCCTTTGAACCAACATGGCCCTTCTAGAACCAGGCCCTTTCTTGGGAATCACGGGCGTGTTCTTGGTAGCTTCAGAATCAATCAGAACATAAGAGAGGGAGCCCATGCCCATCTTCTTCTTCTTCCTCATGGGGGCAGGGATCTTATTTGTGGCCCAGGTCATGGCTTTCTTCTTTGGAGGGCTCTCAGGACCACCCTCTTGATCTGAGTCCTCCAGATTCCCAGGGCCCTCTGCTGTGGCCCGTGAACGCCGAGGAAAATCGTTGGGATCCCTCCAGACTCTTTTCTTCTTCCAAACTGTCTCCTCCTGCTTCACAAAGGGTTTTTTGTTGTTCTTGACAGACTCCGGGATCTCTGAGTTTCGGGCAGCTGCAGCTTCAGCGCCTTCTAAATTCACCTTATTGTAATTGTTGCCTTGGGGTTTTCTCCAGCATGTTGGTTCTTGCTTAGGATTTTTTTTCTGCTTCCTTCTCCTGGAGCGAATCTTACCTCCAGCCCGGCGAAATAGAGGTTTTGGAGAGTCACCACGGTCCTCTGCAGTCTTCCAGTAGTTTCGGTCCTCCATCTTGAAAGTCGAGCCCACCTCTACACCCAGTCCGGGTTCCTTCTTTACCGTTCTCCTTGCTGTTGAAGCCCAAGCCATCAGCTCGGCCTCCTCGGCCCTCGCTTCTTCCTCCCGATTACGCATTTCCGCATTCATGTAGAAGATAACCTGTACCACGGCGCCCAGGAGCAGCCCCATGGCTTCTGCCCAGTTCGGTGGAGGCTGGTTTGGGTTCGGGAACGATGGATGCTGGTTGAGCCTCAAGAGACGTACCACGTCCTCCCAAGTGCGCCCTTCGCCATCCAGGAATTCGTTCAGATTTTTTAAAAACTCGGCGTCCTGGGTGGGGTCTCTGCAGACCACTTTCCAGACACCACCCTTCCCTGGGAACTCGCGAGGTACAGAGCTCAGGTTCACACCCTCGCTAACCTCAACAAGCGCAGCTTTGACGTTCTCCTGCCGCAAAAAAATTTTGTTGACCACACGGTATGTGCCCAGTGGCAAGAGGACCCCATTCAAGGTCTCCTCAATTTCTGCATGGCTACAGTGCTCAGGAATGCCAGTAACCAAGAGGGACCTGTGGATGTCCAGTCCCATGCCCCGGCACCAATCTTCCAGCAAGCTCATCGCCATGGGCTCCGACATCTTCCTGCTCTACCTGTGCAGGGAACAAAGACTCTGAGAGGGAGAGGAGTGGAGGTGAGCTGGTTCCCAAAGATGAATCTCACAAGACAGTGAGGTCAGATTCCCTGAAAGAGGGACAAAACCGTAGATCTCCCTTGTCTCTTACACAGCTGGCTTTGTAAGAGGCCTGACTCCTCTCCCCTCAAGATCCTCCCCCATAACCTGGGCCCCCAGTGCTCACGTGTACCGGATATGGTGCAATCGGCCCTGGCCCCTTCCCGGAGTCTGGAACGCTGCTGGTTCACGGGGATGTTCTGGCCACCCCCCGCTTCCGATAGCCTAGGCAGGCCAAGGACAGGAGGCTAGATTGCGGAGAGCAGGCCCCGGCCCCAAAGAGCCAGGAAGTTGTGTCTATGCCCGGCTCCAGCTCCAGTCTACACGGGTCAAACGGCCTTGAGCCCCCTGAGCCCCACCGAGCTGGCCTGGCGTAGGCGTTGAAGAGCGCTCATGCGCACTTTGCTTCCTCAGATCTGCATCCCCGGCGGTCTCCATGGCAACCAGCCACTGGTTGCTAGGCATCATTGCTGCCTAGCTGTGGGTTCTGTAGCTGGGCTTAATAAGAAAGATGGACAAAAGATGTGGCCACTGGGACTGTTCAGATGTCCATTGGACAAAAAGTCTGTATCCTACATCTCTCCAGGGCTGTTTTTTCTACCACTATTTTTTCTCTTTAAATTATATATATAAACAAACACATGCGCGCACATATATCTCACCCTCATACCTTAGAAAGGGTCCTACTGTGCAGCCCTGGTTGTCCTTGAACTTTCTGTGTAGAGGAGGCTGGCCTGGAACTCACAGAGATCCACGTGCCTCTATTTCCAAGGGTGCTAGTGTTAAAGGCATGTGCCACCATGTCTGACAACTTTTATAATTTTTTAAAAATATTTATTTATTAAGTATAAAATATTCTGTCTGTGTGTATGCCTGCAGGCCAGAAGAGGGCACCAGACCTCATTACAGATGGTTGTGAGCCACCATGTGGTTGCTGGGAATTGAACTCAGGACCTTTGGAAGAGCAGGCAATCCTCTTAACCTCTGAGCCATCTCTCCAGCCCTAATTTTTAAATTATTATTTTGGGGCTTGGGGGGTTTTCTTCCTTTTTTGCTTGTTTTGTTTTTGCTAGAATACAAAGCGACGGGGCTGGAAAGACAGTTCAGCAGTTAGCGCTGGCAGCTCTTGCTAGAACTCAGGTTTAATTCCCAGCAGCCAACAGTCTTGGGAATCTGATGCCATCTTCTGGCATCTGTGGACACAGCATACATGTAGGGCACAGATACATATGTAGGCAAAACACCCACGCAATTAAAATAAATAACTTAACCTCTGGGTACAACCAGCAAAGGAAGGCTTTCAAGCCTCTGGAGTGAATCACAGCACTGTTGGATAAGTAAACAAAGAGATAAGAAAGGAAACTACTTACCTTACGAAATTCACTAAAGTTGAGGTAACTTAGACAAAAACTCCCGTGACTAGGGTTATGTTTGAATTTAAGCGACCACATCATAAGTAACTATAAAAGAAGGCAACTTCTGTTACCCCAGAAACTGATATTTACCCTGTAGACGAAGAATAATCGGAAGACTCTGTCATCAAAAATGAAACTGAAGGCCAGGCAGTGGTGGCGAAGGCCTTTAATACCAGGACTCAGGAGGCAGAGGTAGAAGGATCCCTGTGAGTTCAAAGCCAGCCTGGTCTACAGAGTGAGTTCCAGGACAGCTAGCAAGACACAGAGAAATCCTGTCTCAAACTACAAAAACAACACCCAAAAAAGAAAAGAAACTGAAGGGCAGGATTGTGGCTACCAGGGTAAAGTACTTGCTATGTGAATGCGAGGACCTGAGTTCAGATCCCCAGCACCCATGAAAGAAACGAGCGCAGCATCTCAGGCCTAGAATCCCAGTGCTGGAAACAGAGAGGCAGCACTGTGGGACTCCTCTGACCAGTCTATCCAGACAGCGCGGTCCAGGCATGTGAGAGACCCTGCCTCAAAATTCATGGTGATGCACGCCTTTAGTCTCAGCATCAGGAGGCAGAGACAGGTGGATCTCCAAGTTCAAGGCCAACCTGGTCTACATAGCAAGTTCCAGGCCAGCCAGGGCTACACAGAGAAACTCTAAATAAAGAAAGTGGAGAACAATCCAGGAAGGTACCAACACTGACCTCTGGCCACCACAAGCACACTTGTGCAGGCAAACCCCGCCTCCAGACACACAAACACAAAAATTATGCCTCTGAATTATAGTGTTCCAATGAAACGTGGGCTTGGAGAAAGTCGTATTTCTAAGACTGCATTTCAAATGGATTTCATTTGAGTATGTGTGCATGATGTGTGTGTGTCAGGGTGTGTGCGTCAAGGCACACGTGGAAGTTGAAGGACAGCTTGCTGGAGTCAGTGCTCTCCTTCCACATGGACTGAACCCAGGTCCCAGGCTTGTGCAGGGGACACGTTTACCCATTGAGCCTCCTCACCATCCCAAAACTTGTGCCTTATCTGCCATTCTATGCAGTGGTAATAGGTAAAACTAAAAAATGATTAACTGGAGAACAATAAAAATGAGATGTAAAAATATCTTAAGTAAGTGAAAAATGAACCAATATTATATGTATACATACATACAGAAAGAGAGAGTATTTAAATTAAATGTGTATATGGCCCAGTGTGGTGCACACCTTTAATCCCAGAATTTAGGAGGCAGAGGCAGACTCTGTGAGTCCCCGGCCAGACTATGCTATAGATAGTGAGACTCTCACACTGGAGCGGTAGCTCAATGGACGAAAGCACTGGCTGTTCTTGGTAGAACCCTGGTTCCATTTGCAGCACTCTGTAAGTCCACCTGGAATATGACCCCTCTTCTGGTCACCTTGGTTACAAGTGCACATATGTTGCAATACATACATGCAGGTAAACAACTATGCACATAAAATAAAAAGTGTGAATGTAGGCTCTCTTGAGTTCAAAGCCAGCCTGGTCTACATAGTGAGTTCTAGGACTACCAGAGCTACACAGAGAAACCCGAAGGGAGGGAGAAAATGTTAATGTAAATAAATTAAGTTAAAATGTATTAATAAAGCCAGGCATAGTGGTGTGTGCCTATTATCCCAGGAGGAGAATCCCAGAAAGTTCAAGGAATGTCAGGGATACAAATGAAGGATCAGGATGATCGAGGTTACATAATGACTGTGTCTCAATAATCAATTAATTAATTAAAAGTCAGCATATCGGGGCACACCTGTGATTGGCAGGTGGATTAAGGGTTCAAGGTCAGCTGTTCAGTGATGATGCATCCTTTAATCCCAACACTCAGGAAGAAAGCAGAGGCAGGTGGGATCTCTGAGTTAGAGGCCAGCCTGGACTACAGAGAGAGTTCTAGGACAGCCAGGGCTGACACACAGAGAAACCCTGTCTCAAAAGAGAGACAGACAGACAGACAGACAGACAGAGAAAGAGCGAGCTCAAGGTCATTCTTACATACATGCTTTTCAAATTTGAGGCCAGTCTAGGGTTTGAGAGACCGCCACGACAAAAAAGTAGATAAATAAGTCATGTTCATGTAGAAAAAAATACATAAATAGGTAGAGAAACTTTATATATATGTGTGTGTGTTTATATACACACAGGTGCTTAGTGGCATCAGCTGCATGCCTGGTCTCTTATTAAGGACCCACCCTGATTGCCAGAGGATTTAAAAATAGTTCTAAAGCATCCCTAATAGGAGTCTTACTGTGGTTTCCATGACGACACATAGCCCTTTGGTTTCCATGACAACATTTTGCAGAGTGGTTTCCAAGACAACACATCTCTGTGACTCCAACCTTTCTGTCCATTTCTGCTTTGTGTTTGGGGCTATCTTTTTTTTTTTTTTTATCGTCTTCCTCTCCCTTTAGCCTTGGTTTTCTTTTGTGTTTGATTGGTTTTTGTTTTTTTTTTTTATTTTTTTGTTTTTTTTTTTTTTGCTTGGAAATGAGATGTAATATTGTCCACGCTGGCTGCATACTTACTATTTAGCCAAGAATGGCCTTGAGCTTCTGATCCCATCGGCTCTGCTGCCTCCCTGGTGCTATTGCAGACGTGAGTCAGCATATCCGGCTCCATTTCTTTTGCTTTAAGACAGGTTCTGACTGTGGCTCAGGCTGGCTTCAAATTCAAGCGCCCTCCCACACACATCAGCGCCCCGAGTCCTGGGATGGAAGGCCTGAGCCATTTTACCTGACTAGACTTCGGGTTTCTCCTTTACCCTGTATAATTTAGTTGAGAACCCATCAAATTTCTAGAAATACCAACTCCAGAGAAAGTTCAGGGGGTCTTAGTTTGCTTTCAATTGCTGTGATAAATGCCATGACCAAAAAGCAACTTGAGAAGCAAAGGGTTTTCACTGAGAAAAGTTGGGGCAAGAACCTTGGTCAGAGACTCAAAGGGAGGCCGTAGAGAAGCACTGCTTACTGGCTTGCTCAGCTGCTTTCCTATACCCCCAGAAGTATTAGCCCAGGGGTGGCACTGCCCACAATAGGCTGAGCCCTCCCCACATCAGTTGTCAATTGGCTTGCCTCCCGGCCAATCCGATAGGGGCATTTTTTCAGTGCAGGGTACCTCTTCTCAGAGGAACCTAACATGTGTCAAGTCAACAAATAATAATCATAGTCACAATAAGTTAAAGTAACCAAAACAGGGCCACGACCGTAAGGCGAGTTGGGGAGGAAAGGGTTTATTTGCTTATACCTTAGCTTCATTAGGCGTCAGTGAAGGAAGTCAGGACAGGAACTCAAGCAGGGCAGGATCCTGGAGGCAGGAACTGATGCAGAGGCCGTACAGGGTGCTGCTTACTGGTTTGCTTTCCCTGACTTTCGCCTTCTTATAGAATCCAGGACCAGCAACCCAGGGATAACTCCACCCACCACGAGCTGAACCCTTACTAAGTGAGAAAATACCTTACAACTGGATCTCATAGAGGCATCTCCTCAAGTGAGGCTTCTTCCTCTCTGATGACTCTAGTTTGTGTCACACTGACCCACAAAACCAGCCAGTAAAAGAAGGAAAGGGATTGCTTCATCTTACATTTCTAGGCAAAAGCTCATTGTTGAGGAAGTCAGCCTAGGAACTCCAGCAGGAACCTGGAGGAACATGGAAGAAGTCTACTCTCTTTTCTTCTCTCTCTCTCTCTCTCTCTTACTTTTTTGTTTGTTTCTTTGTTTTGTTTTTGTTTTTGTTTTTCAAGACAGGATTTCTCTGTGGATCTCTGCTGTCCTGGAACTCACTTGTAGACCAGGGTGACCTCAAATTCACCAAGATCAGCCTTCCCCTGCTTTGGGCTGGGATTAAAGGCCTGTGTGCCACCATGACCATCAGCCAATGGCACCACCCACAGGGGCCTGGGCCTTCTCACAGCTCCAGCTGCCGG